TTCGGCTTTCAGCACGGCTCAGCCGAGCCGAGGCATATGCGATCGTCTCGACTGAGCCGCTCGGCTGTGATCGGGAGCTGTACGGGCTATTGTGAATAGCCCGTACAGCACCCCCTCGGTTCTCCTGAACCGAAGGGGTCTGGGGCCGAAGCTAGCCGAAGGATCGGCCGAAGCTACGGCCAGATCCTTCGGCAGCTTTGTGAATAGACCCCTATGTGTTTAATATAGGGATGCGCAGATACTTTTCGAGTACCAGTGCAGATACTTGGCATTTTCATGAGAACTATCAGGGTTGCAGTGGTTGCAGCTGGGACCTGGCTCTGGCACTCCACCACTGTCCTGAAATCATTAGTTGATATTGTTTTAGAAAAACTGTCACATGACAATGAACAAAAATGTATCACTACTCGTACTTGTAAGTACTCAGCAAGTACCAGTACTCGTACTCACAAAACTGGTATCAGTGCATCCCTTTATTTATATTTATAAAAACAAAATCGTACATTAAAACAGAGATGTACAAATCCCAGGAGCTCCGTGTGCTCCTTACAAATGACAGCTGCCTCCTAACTTTTGAATTTTTCTCTAGTGTAGTCTTGGAGCTCAAAAGTATCACTACTTGTACTCGTACTTGTACCGAGTACTGTACTTGGTATATGTGCAACCCTATTTTAATTAAAAAAAAGATTCCCCAAACAACTGGAAACTCTCTGATATGCATTATTACAGTCTTGCTTAGAAATATGGCTAATGATGGATGCAATGCTGAAGATGATGGGTAAACAACCAGCAGATACTGTAACATGGCTAGTGTGAGGGCAGCTGCTAGACAATTATAGTATTTTGTGGATGATGTGTGTGTGTGTGTTTGGGGGGAGGAGTATTGCTAGACAGTGTAGTGTGGACATGGAGTGGAGAGGTACCAGAGAATGTATAGTGGATGGACAGAGTTTTCTGGAGTTGTAGACACTGATGATAAAATATAGACATGTGCAATTTGTTTCATTCCAATTAAAAATTCGGACAAATTTTCCGAAATTTGGACATACGGGCACATCCGAATTTCCGAATCCTAATGCATCCATATGTATCCAAATCCGAATTTCTGTCCAAATTTTGGATCCCGTCCGAATTTCGTTCAAAAACGAAACTGAATTGGACTGAAACTGAATCTGAAACTTTTCTGTCCAAACAGATATGTTTTTCAGTTTAATGCATCCAAATGGGTCTGAATATACATTTTCGTTACAGCAACATGGGAGCCATATATATACATATAATACTAAACCTGAGGCTCCTAAACCCAAATAGCATTCGGGATTTGAAT